CCCCAAAACCCCAAAACCCCAAAACCCCAAAACCCCATTATTTAGAATTAAAATAAATTTTTAATCTGGAGAAATGAATCAGCTAAAAGGAGACCAAGAAGAGATTAATATTTTCTCACCAATATCATCTCCTAGTCCTGACCGTCAAGAGGCGAGTAATAATAATAAAAATCAAAGTAAGCTGGATTTTTTAGATGAAGAAGTTATATGGATTAGATAGGAAATTATAATCTACAAAACCAAAATTTAAATCCATGCTCAAAAAGAGATTTGAACACAACTTTTTCGTGATTAGAATAAGCTTATCCTAAGTTGGTTTGTAGTCTCCCAAACATTATTAGAAACTTGTATTTATCAACCATATTATATGTAACCAATGTTTAACTTAATAAAGGTTTAGGCTCAAATCTCTGAGGATTAAACTGATGTATAGAAAGGACTGATCAAAATTTCAAGAATTTCGATGTCCCAATGAACCCTAAGCATAAAATTAGACTGAAAGCTAAAACTAGGTTTATCTCAAATAAATCTCTCTACTCAAGCCCCCAAGGAATTGCTTTAAAATAGCTCGAACACTATTGATTATACAAAACTTCCTCAAAAGACTAACAAAAGTCTTATGGCTCAAAATAGTCCTCAAAATAGCGCTTCGATGGTCAATCAGAAGACCAAGAACTTTCTCGACATCAACAGAAAGAAGGTAGCCAACAATAAGGCCAAGATTGCTAAGCGAGGGCTCTATGACTACCAGAAGATCACCAGTGAGAATTATCAGAGGGAAAAATAAGCTCCAAAGAGATCAAAATAATCTCCTTGCAGGCTCATCGATTGCGAAGAAGATCATCCAGAAAAATGGGGCTAACATACAGAACTTAAGGAAAAGGAGCCGGGAGATATCTAGTGGGGCTCATAGCAAAATTGACCACCACCGTGGTGAGAAAAGACGTTGCTCCAAAGAATTCTCCTCAAATTCTTCAATGAGAAGTCGTGGAAAGGGAATCCCTGACTCAAGCCACCAGAGGCTAAAATCTAATCTAATGAATAGCTTACAGGAATATATTTCAGCACCTGATAAAGGATTTAGCAGTCTGATTGAGAACGGAACCCAGCGCCAAAATCGTAAATTTCAGAGCAAATAAAGACCAAGATTTAGTAACAGAGAGGTTGCTTAAGCATAAGGAAAGAATTGAGAATAAGAAATAAGATACTTGAGACTACACAGTTATGTGAGAGAACAGCTAGACAAAATCTTAGCTCTAAAATCTCCCATAAACCGCAGAAAAGCTATACATCAAGGTCTAATTTTAACAATTTTTACAGGGACCAAGTCAACCGTGAGATGCTGAGGAAGTTGAAGTTGGCTTCTAAAGCTGAAGAAAAGCGAAGAAGAGAGCTGTCGTTTAACAAACGACCTAATATATCTTCTAAATCTAGAAAGATTTCATCCAGTATGGGTAGGAAGGGAAATGTTCATGAACGTCTCCACCAGACAAGTTTTGAAAGAAATGAGAGTAGAGGCCACCATGCGATGAATAGTTTCAACTCAAGATTTAGCTCAGAAGTCCCTTTGACTCATAGGAAAGGAAAACAGAGGTTTCATTCAGATGAAAGAGAAGGCTGCACATTCCAACCTCAGATTAGTAAGAGGACCAAACGAATCCGAAACTCACAAAGTTTTGGGGACCGGCTACTTCAAGATGCTTACCAGAGGAAGGATAGGAAGGACTTCACAAGAAAGCAGGAAATTCATAAGATAAAAGAAAACCAGATGCTTAAGCACTCTTCAAAGTCTTCACAACTTGCTTATAAGAGGTTCAGCAAAGATTTTAGGAAAGTTATTCGAGAAAAAGAACGGATAAAACATAAAATGAACTTCCTGGATTTATGAAACCTAATGATAGATCTTCACATGATCGATACTAAGTTACTTAATACTGACAAAAGTGAAGAAGAGAGGGAGCTGATCCGAGAAATTTGGAGGCTGCTTGGAGGAGAAAGTGATGAAGATGAAATCCCTACCATCAGTGTCAGAAACTTCATCTGAATTATATTAAACTTTGATCAGCCTTTCCTCTACTTTCCAGATTTAGATTCACTCGACTCGAGCCAATTCGATCAAAACACAGTTGGTATAATCTCTACTGAAGGAATATTCTTCCTACGGGACAAGAAGGAGATTAAGAAGATTCACAAAAGCTTCTATGTGTTTTGCCTGAACAGGTTTAATAACTTATCTAGCCAGAAATCTACCAGATCAAACTCCTGTAGTAGTAGAGGATCATGAGAAAGGAAAAGAGACTTTACTCCCAAAATTAATACTAGATCTAAAATTATTGATAAAAGAAACAACCGCTCATGTAATAAGAGACACAACATGTTGATCAGCGCTGGAGCTAAGTACAAAAAGCTTAAAAATCAGAAAGCTCTTGAAAAGAAATCTAAGGAATTAAACGGTTGTACTTTCTTCCCAGATACCGAGAAATCTACCAAGAAGTTTAGGTCCGATGCTAGTGACACTGGGCATATCAAAAGTTCGATTATGTCTGACCAATCTCTTACTGAAAACATGAATTCTGATATCCAAAGACTCACTTCTCAAACAAATGATAAATTCTTACATGAATTAGCTGGGACCTCTCCTATTAATAAAGCTAAACCAAGCAAGAATGTTTTTAAGCATAAATCTCTGGCATCATTTCCCTACAAGCCTTTGGCAGGGCTTGCAGCAGAACTGCCTGCTGATACAGCCCATGAGGATAGCCCTCATGGGCTGAAAAAGCATGGCATCAGCCCAATCCAAGAAGCTCGGAAAGAAAATGACACTGACGATGAAGTCATCTTTAAAACCAACTCTACATTGGAGGATCATCGAGCTTATAACGGGATGAACCTAGATATGGTGAATAACAATAAAACTCTTCTCAATGACCTTGAGAAGAGCATAAAAGAGAATAGCCTAGAGAAAATTTCTCCTATTAAAATAACTAATCGACAAGGAGATGTTGATGATATTGACGATGTTATTGATGATGGCAACGAAATCAAGATCATCGAGGATCCTCTAACTGATAGATATGAGCAGGATGATAATTATGAGAATACTCCTTCATCTACTCCTAGCAAACAGGTATCAACCTTCGATAATATCCAGGATGGTGAAAGCCAAAATGTTGAGAGCAAAGAACCTTCAAGTCCTTCACAAGCAGTCACAAATTCCATCGTAGAACAAGAAGAAGAGGAGCTTTCAGAAGAAGATTCCCAAATTCCTTTGCTTTTTGTAGATGTCAACCTCGGAAAAGGAGTTATGAAAAGAATCATTCTTTACGAAGAAGATGATCCATTATACATTGCAGAGATGTTTGCGAAGGACAACAACCTCGAGCCTAATATGAAAGCCAAGCTTGAGACTCTTCTCAAGAAGCAGATGGATGGAGTCCTTTCAAAGATAGTCGAAGATGATGAGAATGAGGAGTCTACTGACAACTAATATTCTGATATTTTAACAAATACAATAGTTACCCTTAGATTGGGGTTTTGGGGTTTTGGGGTTTTGGGGTTTTGGGGTTTTGGGG